GGAGCAAAGCGAGATTTACTAAACAGACTATCGAAGCATTGCAGCTTGGCTGAAAAATTGGTGTTCAGAGTCATTTTCTGGGCTTGCTTCGAATAAATAAATAGTCGACTTTTGTAGTTCATTTTTTCTTCGATTGATTAGTGTGTGCTGCAAAACAATTCACACAAAAATAGCAATGAAGTCAGACAATAAATGCTTTCAAGTGCGCACGCTGTGGAACATAAAAAAGGACTATTTTAGGAAAAAGCTCTTAAAGTACGACATGAAAATCTGAGCACCTGAATTTTGCAGGAAATGCACAACAAGCCAAGGGCTATCTTGCAACGAGATGAAAATTTCTGTGGCAGCTACTTTAGATGAGCAATTAATTTAGTAAGCACAATTTTCAAGGTTGTTGATTAATTCTTCTGCTAGTTGTGCATCACGAGATCAAAGGATGGTAGAGAGAGGATCTAAGCGTTAAACAATCTAATGAGATGCGAGCTGTCAGAGTATATCATGCGATCTGGTACATAATCCTTGTTTTTGGGGAAAACATCTAAACTCAGAGGCGCCCTATGTAAGTGAAAAGAAAATTCTGCAAAGACACCTAATAAAGAAACTATATAGCTGCATTCATAGCAACAATCATCTTGCAGAACAGTCTGAAATAGTGAACGTGAGACAGAATTCGATGAGGAGTACTCTCTTGTACCTAAACTTGAAATATTTTTGATTCTTTCAGTGAAAACGAAAAATGTGTTTGATCTTCCAAAAAATATTGATAACAATTTTCTCAGGACACCATCGGTTGCCACCTTGTAGTCCTGATTTACTCTCACGGGTTTTATCTAAACAATGTAGTTTAGCTAGCAGGTGACGATTCTGATGTTACGTGCAAGTTTCGAGTGGGATTAGACGCGGATGAATGGTTGATATACAATATGATGATCATCGATCTTCACACATGTTTAAAAAAATATGATGAAAAAAGTCCACTTTTGATACTGACTGTCTCAATTGGAGAACGTATTAAAAGAAAGTCCTATATAAGTTTCGATGCAGAACTAAATGGGCTACATTGCGACACTATTGATTTTTTGAAAGTCATTAAAGATACAAAGATCTATCAGAACACTAGCAAAATATGGGCTTCTGGAACGTGTCAACAACATAGTATTTCGATTCTTAAAATTTACATTGAGCTCTGAGACAAAGATCATATATACATTTTGTAGAGCAAAGAGAATTCTACCATTTTACATATCGGGTGTCAGAAAAGTTTTCCAACATATTGTGTTTTGCATATATCTCAGCTCAGACAAAAGATAAATGTTGAATTTAATTTTGGAAGATGCGTGTAGATTTTTGGGTGCGTGTGTGTTCAGTTTATTAGTGATATATTGGTTATGATGACAAACAGAAGAATAATAAAATAAGAGGAAATGCAAAGAAGAACGCTTAGAGAACAAAATAACGAATGTAATATCTGATACTCCTAGACTAGAACGAGCACGTATATATGAGTGAATTACAAAATTACTCTATCGTTATATTCTTATATATAAAATTTCAATAAGTCGAGTTCTTTTCAATCAATCTTTATGATTTTTTTCACGTTATGTTCCTCTAAGAAGTCCTCCACACCGCACAAAAAAAATCACAAATTTATCTCGAACCAATCTCGATACATGAGGAGCATAAGGTTAAATAGTCCGACTTTGGCTCCAGCCTGTTGGAAGAAAATGCCATATAACCGATTGGTTCTCCTTTCATTTGAACTTCAAAAGTTGATAATATTACAATTAACAGTTTGTACTTATCGGATATTAAACTGATTGACTCTTCCATGACATTTCTGATGACACATTTTTCTGTGTCCCATACGATCAGTCAATCCTCAAATTGCTGTCACGCGAGATTAAAAACGACTTAGGTATGTAATGACGCATCTGAAATTCGCCGGGTTCGTGTTGAACGAGAGTCAGTGAATGAAAGGTAAAAGTGGCCAAATGCAAAAAGAAAGTTATGCTAATTTCTTTTTTGATATAAAATATTAAATAAGTATTAAAAAACTAGTTGTCACACTAAATGTTGCGGGAGATTATTTACTTTGTTTGATGTATAACTCTCTTAAAGTATAACAGATTGAGCTGAAATTTTGATGATTTTATCCATCCGTTGTGGTCAACTAATATTCAAAATATCAGGATCAGAAAGTTTGTCTTTCATATAAAAGAGAAAAAATAGTGTAAAAATATCACGCGAGATTATTATGTGCATAACTACCCCACAACTGAATCCAAAATAAATACATTATATATAAATTGATTTCATATATAAAGGGTTATCAAGAGTCATGCGAATTAATACCAGATCGTCTCTCACAAGTTAATAAATTCACAGAAAAAGGTCACTACTTATATACATTATCTAATTGATTGCGCATTTACAAGTTTTTCGCTTTGTAAATGTAAAAACCAAATATATTTTAGAAAAAATCATTTTGTTCCAGGTGTTAGTTCTAGATTAAACAGGGTTCCTCATTACAAAGAAAAGGCTCAACGTTAAATCTAAAATGCCGTCGAAAAATTCAACTGAGGCGTGTACTGCCAAAGTCATATGATCTTGAATTTAAACAGTAATTTTAAAAAGCTTTCATATCTCGACCAATTTGATAGTGGTAGTCGGGAAAATTCATTCATATTCTCCTCTCATGCAGTACCATAGAATGCACTAATCAACGTATTAAAAATCGAAAATCTTTTTCGTTCATTTTTTTCACAGAACGGTATAGTAAGTTTGCAATTCACTCATACATACATAAGAGAAGTTTGGGAAAATCCCATATACAACAGAGTACAATGTAGCGGGAAAAATCCAATATATCATGATGGGAAAATTCTGGATACGAAACATGAATATTTTCAACACATGTAAATATCCTAGAATTCCCTGCCTGAACAATGCACATTTCAATTCTATACACAATTGTATTTAGTCTAATTTGAAACAATAGTACTGAACGTTTTTATGAGTCAAATAGCATGATTATATGAATTGTATTTAATTTCCACACGTTCTTTTATTAAATTAGTTTTTCCGTGCTAACTACTATTTCGCTTTTAGAAAAGTATAGCGTTATATGGCTCTCGAAAGCTTCAGCCGATCCCTCATATATTTAACATTCATTCTTTCTATTAGACAGAGTTTGTTGCAAAGCAACATTTTGACAATCACACAATTTCCCCTCAGTTAATGCTTTCCAGAAAAGCACCTCTTCGAAACGTGACTGCTGAATAAATCCCGTTCACTTCTGCAGTACTTCGTAATAAATAGACTTCTCTTTCTGCTCGAAGTTCAAAAAAAATTGATAAAACGATTCAATTCGAAGAAGAATCAGAACAGGGTGTAGATGTTGGTGTGTGCTGAGGAGATCAAGACAAATCCCACATATCCATACACCTACACACCAAAACACCCACACACCAAAACACCCACACACCCACATACCCAGTCGCACGCCCACTCCCACGTCGACCCACACCCCCACATCCAAACCCACACCCACACCCTGATCCCAGTATCTCATAGAAGGCTGCATCCGAAAACTATTGGTCTTTGATAAATTTTGCTGTACTTATCAATATATAAGGTGCCGGCAATGCAAAATTTCAGTAAACATTTTTTTTCTGCGTTCTATTTACACTATTTGATAGAGCTTGAGCTGCTGATCACGAAAAACTACTTTTTAGCCTTACTAAATACTTTCTTCCGGTCGAAAAATACGAAATACTCGAAAGGTGTCATTGTTGGAAAAAACACATTGTTTTTCAAAATGTGCAAAATTCTCTACTTCATTCTTTTGTTTTTTGCTTCCGAAAATAATTTTTTCAGATTCAGTATCAAAAACTGAGTAGAAATAAATTGTTAAATCGACTAAAGACTTAACAACCTATTGGTGGTGGCACTTTGAATCGCATCGAATGAGACGCGTATAAGTCGATTTTGTAAACCTATCTAGGTTTTCTATGTAAGCGATAAACGCAAATATTTTATCTCATTCGACTCCTCATACCATCAGTTACAAAGTTGCAGACCACCTTTTTTTCTTTCCTTTCCTGTGTTGAGATAAATCGCTTTTACTGGTATGGTGGGGTAAGGGGGAAGGTCATCTGTAAATAAAATGCCTATTTCTTACTCAAACTAAGTGAAAATTTGTTCACATAGGTAAAAACTACTGACAAATCCAATGGGCATATTTTCGAGATCTGTGGATGGTTTCCAGAGGATCTCTAGAAATTCTTCCCTGGAAATATCATAGTATAAGCATAAACAGTGATAACATGCGCCTTTCTTTAAGATAACTTCTGTTGCAGCTAGAATAAGTTAATTTGGGATGCCAAAAGTAAGTAAAAGGAAAAGTCAATTACATGCTGCAAGAGCTTGTCGCGTGTCGAACGTAAAGGTTTCGGATTCAAGTGAATCGTCGGAGGTGGAATATCGCATGGATATTGATGATGAAGAATTACGTTTTAAAGACAAAATTTTGCTAACCGACATTGGTGATCTTGCCGAAATGGGGAAGTCGAAAAGTGACACGCAGTATCTTAGCACTTTACTTTATATATCGCTACGTTTCTTTAATATTAAATGGGAAGATGTCGATGATTATTTGAAGAATATTGGTTTTATGACAGCGAAAACCTCTCATAAATGGGCAACAGTATTTATCGAAGGAGATTATGAAGAGTTTTCAAGTGACTTACGTGGTGGCAAACACACTGATTCTTTTTATGATGCATTTCCCGAGATTGAAGCAGATGCGAAAGCATTAATCATTCAAACGTGTTCACAAAAATCCGGAGAATTCAAGACTTTGGATTTGGCTCAGTTTATTGATGAAAAATACTATGAATTAACGGGAATTAAAAAGCGAAGTGGTGACGATTTGATAAGATCTGAAAGGAGTTGCCGTCTGGATGTTCGTAGGTGAGGAGCTAAATTTGAGGCAAATTCACGGTAGGTTATCATTTCCCACAAATTGTGGTTCCCTGAATCGGTCCCTAAATCAGGCCCACATTTGTAGACAATTAAAAGTTAAGTCAACTCTGGTAACCAAAGAGGGACTGCAATTTAGGGACTTTTTATTTTAGGGATATTTTTAATATAAAATATACTATGCATACCTAGACGTGTGACAATTCCTCATTGACGAACAAACGGGTTCGATCATTTAGTTCTTCTGAAAACAACTGGTAACCAGATTCTACTTTTTGAAAAGAAACATTTACTAGTTACAGTGTCTTTTGGAGGATCTGATGACCAGATTCTTCTTTTTGAAAAGAAATATTTTCCAGTTGGAGGGTGGGGTATTTAATGAGTGATGTGCTCAAGGATAGACATACCCGCAGCCCACAGCTATATCTTTAAAAATAGCCCTAAAATAGAAAGTCCCTAAATTATAGTTCCTACTTGGCCACCAGAGCTGACTTATTGTTTAATTATCCACAAATGTGGATCTGATTTAGGGACAGATTCAGGGAACCAGAATTTGTGGGAAATGATAGCCATTCTAATTCACAACGTCCATATTTCGAAGGACATGAAAGAGATGATGTGGTGAAACATCGTAATGAATTTATTAATTATTTTCTAGCAAATAAGGATTTTTATTACACAATAAGTGATGGTGACACGCCCATGTGGAATATTCCAGCGTGAAGTCCTCATAGAATACTTATATGTAAGCACAGCAATCAAAACTTTCAGATGTAATCCTATGATGGTTTATTCTGCGTTTATCTTTGC